ACAAGTACGCTGCACAGACTGTTGCGTGAGCGCTGGGACATTTAGTTTTCTCTTTTTTTGCAGTTAACAATCTCGAGACCAAAGGGATGGAGGTTTCTTGCCTTAGCCCTAAAGCCTATGCCTGCGCAGTCGGGTCGACATATCAGTTTCCAGTGTAGTAGGAGGATCCACTGGAGGAAGACTTCGGCAGTGAAGTTGGAATCGTTCACGCTGCCCACACGTTCCATCCAAAAGCTACCCTGCGCATTCGCCGGCAGTCTGCTTGAACTTGATTCCCTTCTGATGATGTCGGCCATCAACGAATTTTGCCTTACTTTGTCGGTTTCGGGAGACTGCAAGAACTTGACGCGTGAGGGCTTAGCAGTCAGGCCAGCTTGCCTGAAGTGGAGGCAAGATGGCTCTTGAGGACATTTTTGAACCGGCTGAGCAAGCACCTCGGGGTCTTGGGAGGTGGGGGGGGGGACAGTCTTACCTCAGCCATGACGCGTGCGTCATGGCGGCTCGTCGGAAAACTTCCTCTGACCACGGACGCCAGCGTGGTTTTAACGACAAGGCGAGGCTGAGGTCGCTAGCACAGCTCACACCTCGTCTGAAGGTACAGTAACCGCAACGACACGATAACCTTCATGTGACATCGTTACTATTCCCGGCGGGTGTCTGAGCTGAGTGAGTATCTTTGGCTAAACGTACCCGGCCCAAAGGTTTGTGTTTTGAAAATAAGCACAAGATTTCCCGGCAGGTACGCAGAAGAGGTACGCTGACTTAAAGTAGCCATGGAGCGTAAGAGGAGATAAGGTGACCCAGTAAGACGCTGCAGGTGGACGGGATTGACTATCTCTCAGTTTACACCGACAGACAGAGTTTTGGTCTTGGCGGCGTGGCCTTGAAGTTGGGTGACCTCAGTGTGCCAGGGACTTTTCACCACGAACCTGCTGAATTGGAATTTGCCGCGACAGTCCTGCACTTTGAAACGATGTTTACTTCAGGTCAGCAGGGTTGCTTGTCTGACGGGGGGAGGCTGTGGGGGAGAGGGTGGCGGTGGCGGTCACACTTGAAGCATAATTCTCCCTCCCTATATCTTGTAAAATACATTTGGGTCGCACCGTCGGACTCAGTTCTGTCTGTCAGACGTGTTTCAGTCTTTAACTTGTGACAGCTTAGAAGTCACGGATAGACACCGCATCGTAAATAAGCCTTCTTTCGCGAGAAGCCGTGGTCGCAGTATTGACAAGAGTTCTTTGAAAGTAACGCACCAACTGGACCTCCTTGCCATCCTCGTATGCAGACCAACAAACGGGCAACTTAAAACTGCGTTCATCGTAGAAAAAGGGAACTTTGTTGTGGCAAATCTGAGAGGATTCAATGTGTCAGACATAGAGTAGGTGGGCTAACACTCGTGAAATGTCAACCAAGATTCTGAAATGCATTTTCATTCCGAAAATATTACTTGATTAAGGTTGTAAAACTAATCATCATACAGCGTAATTCTATAATAATTCAGTTACCTCAGGATGCTGGTTTTCGAAAGAACTTCTTCTCGGCTTCATACACAAATTATACTCTGTAAAAACATGACTACTTGCGAAGCATGCATTTTTCTCATTGATTTTCGATGCCCTTGAATATTCGCCTATATTTCACAACTTCATGCATAAAAGCATGCATTCTTTCTCTCATTTGGTAGAAAATGACGTTTTCTTCCAATTTTATACTCGAAGAAAGGGTGTAACTCGGTTTTGAAAGACTATTCTAATTCCCGAATAATTTTTAATTCCCCGCTTGCCATTATACTTGTGTTCATTGTCTCCAAACTACAAGTCGTATATTTTCCACGTATGGAAATCCATATATTTATCTACGGTATTAACAGAAGACCTATGAGGTTTAGGTAAGATGTGGTTTGGTAGCCCTAGGTGATGGACACAATACTGTTGGGATTGGGGTTAAGGGTTATGGTTAGGGGTTCGGGTTTAGGATTAGGAGTTATAGTTAGCGCAGCTATTTCTCAACCACGCATTCCCAACAGCTTTTCTTTTGCATAAAACTATTTTACCCAGTCGCTTGTGAGTTCCGCGGCCCCACCTGTCAAATCCCCTATTACCACCGACGCCTTATATGGGGTGACTGGGGTTTGCGTTCTTGAGATGGGGCTACATAACCAAATCTGGCTGCTAAAACTAGCGTTACATTCACCGCGGTGGCTTTCCCGACGGGTATGGGAGGGACAATATTGATGCAAATTAAGTCCGCCTAATCAAAGTAAATGTAATCAAATGGAGAAGAGGCCATCGATGAAACACATTTATTAGCTTGGCGTTTAGGATTGTCACTCAAGGCCATAATCGGTGCCATTCGCAGAAAAGGGTACTGGGAACACAATGAGTGCGGTACTGGATGGGACGCCTGCTGTAATCAGCAGCGCCCGCGATCATCACAATAGGGGCAGTCGTATTTATTGCGATGGCTGATGGTCGGTCCGTGCCCGAGTTGTTACTGGCCGTGATTTTCTCCGCGTTGATGATTCTTGGCGCGAACACTAGTCAGTATTTTGGCTCGCTGTCATTGGAACTGCAGTTCTTCCGCGCCCTCCCTGCATTACTAATTATTTCGTCTAGACAAAATCGCAGCGAAAAGTCATTGCGTTTGTTAATTACAGTGGATGGGCTAACTCATGAAATGTCAACCGAAATTTCGAAATGCGTTTTCGTTTCGAAAAGATTAGTTAGATTGGGTTGTAAAACTAATCATCGTGCGGCATAACTCTATGATAATTCAGTTACCTCAGGATGCCGGCTTTCGAACGGACTTCTCAGCTGCATGCAAAAACTATACTCTGTAAAAATGACTATTTAAGTAGCATGCATTATTCTCATGGATTTTCGGAGCCCTTTAAAATCCAGTTTCATTTCATAGAGAAAATGCATAAAAATATTCATTCCTTTGCTCATTCGGTAAAAAATGACGCCTTCTTCCAATTTTATACTCAGAAAGGGCAAAATTCGATTTTTAAAAAGTTTCTAATTGTGAGATTTTCTGATACCATGAAATAACCGTTCATAAAGTGTCATGTCTCTGCATTTATCAATGTGACTTGTAAAGTTAACAATATGGCTCAAATCCACTGTTAATTTTCATAAACACCATATGGTCTCCTCTCAATACCGTGGAGAAATGTGTGGTTTTCCGTATGCAAAAAATATACGGCTTGTAGGTTGGAAACCCTGAATGAAAGTGTAGTGGCAGATCGGGTTCAAAATTATTCGGGAATTGGCAAGGTTTTTGAAAACCGAATTACACTCTTCCTTCGAGTATAAAATTGGGAAAAGACGTAAGTTTCTTGCGAAAGAGCAAACGAATGGATATTTTTATGCACAGTTTTCACGAAATATAACAGATTTTTTACGGATGTCAAAATTCAATGAGAAGAATGCATGCTAAGTAAGTAGTCTTCTTTACATAGCGTGGGTTTTGCATGAGGCCTGAAAGAAGTTCGTTCGAAAGGCAACATCCTGAGCTAACTGAATTATTATACAATTATGCTGCATGATGACTAGTTTTACAACCCTACTTAATTAATTTTTTCGAAACGAAAACACATTTCGAAATTCCGGTTGACATTTCATGAGTTTGCTTACCTACTTTGAATGCGGACCAGAGAACCATAAGTCAAGTAGGTCGCAGCCCACTCGGTTGTCACCACTTTTGAGAATTTTTGCCTTGTCAGACTTAAGGGTTTGCCGATTCTACGGTTTTCCAAAAAAGTGCGCAAAGAGGACGGTCCTTTGTGACCCATCATATTACTCTAGGGTACTCTAACTCACAGACTGCAAAGTGACTATTTCTACGTCTTAAATTTCTGACGGTGGATTCCGCCACCGTAGTCATTTCATCGACACAATTCTTGGGGGAAAGTAAAGTGGTAGTTTTCCTGCCAAGTGACTTCATGGTATCTTTTGATGCCATATTTCTTTTCACTTTTCAATGCTGAAGGATGTGACAGTCGAGACCATAGAGCTACCCCTACAGAACAAATACGATGAGACGGATAATCACCTCGGACACGCCCACATCCTCCAGCTCCTGAGGTTCTGTCTCAAGACACAATTTACGTTCGGCAAAACAATCTGCAAGTAGGTGAAGGGTATACCAATGGGTTCGCCGATCTCGGGACTCATAGCGGAGGCGGTCCTACAACGGTTGGAGTCGCTAGTCTTCTGATGCCGCAGACCGAAATTCTCGGCTCGGTCTCTGGATGACACCTTTGTTGTCATCGGAAGGGATTAGACGATAGCCTTCAAAGAACATCTCAACGCCGTCTTTCCGTACACATCATTCACGATGGAAGAGGAAGAAAAAGGCCAGCTAGCCAATCTTGGACCCTCTTCTGCTGAAAAGATTGTGGTTGTCTAAAAATCAGTGTTTAGTAAAACGACCTATACGACATAAGTATTGAGCTTCAGCCGCAACTAGGCAGTTGAGTAAAAGTGTAATGCAGGCGTATGAAGACCAGCTGAAGCGAACCGGAAGACAAGGTTTTTGAATTACAATATCTTCGACGAGTGCTTAGAGCGAATGATTACCCGCTAAGCTTCGTCATTTGGTGTGTGCTGAAGTACGTGAATACTTGACCTTTGACAATCTTGTCACGTTTGTTTTACTGCAGCATTTGTTTTAACGTGACGAGGACTCCGCCGCTTGTAAGCTTCGCGCCGCTTGCGTGCTCTCTGGTCAGGTCGTTGCACATTTTGAACATTAACTTTATTCACTTACTGGCCTTCCTTACCTCTCCGTTTATGAGGTTAGTAAGCCGCAGTTCGTTAGTCCGCGAGAACGACATAACTTACGTCATTGGTGACTCCCGACGTTAGCGCAGACTTAAGTTCTTTCCTTCTGTAACATTTAATGACATTTAACGTCCTGTATTTATATGCTAAATTTTAGTTCATTTACATTTCCTGCTAACCTTTTCACGATATTGGGCTACCTATATTTTGCTTATTATGTCTTCCTCAACTCAACAACCTGACGTTCCTGCCGAGTCTGTTCATGCCGTCCATTTCACTTTGCCTGATTTCTGGCAACAAGCCCCTGAACTTTATTTTATCCGCATTGAGTCAGCCTTTTACTCCGCCAACATTACGAAGGAGTTGTCGAAATACCACAAACTTGTGGAGGTTCTCCCTGCCAATATTATCTCACAAGTTCAACCCTTGTTAGTGAAACCCCCTGTAGACGCTCCCTATTCTGCTCTGAAGGCGGAAATCCTTCGTCTCAATGCTGTATCTGACCGACAACGCTACCACCAGTTGATCAAGGCGGAATCACTGGGCGACCGAAAGCCCTCAGAACTTCTCCGACGAATGCATACTCTCTTAGGAGACATGCAGGTCGATGAGAAACTCGTTAAAGAGATGTTTCTAGAGCGGCTGCCTGCAGGGGTCCAAACGATTTTGGCATCTGGCTCGCAAGACCTTACGCTTTCACATCTTGCTGAAATGGCAGACCGAATGATAGAGGTTCAACGGTTCCAGCCACCTTCCGTTGCTCAGATTTCCACATCCTCTTCAACGGTTAAGGAGCAGTTACTGCAACAGATGTCGGCTATGGCGAATGAGATAGCATCCCTAAAACTACAGCTTGCTCACATTACCTGTAGTAGCTCACCCAGCCGTCATCTTTCACGTTCGCAACCTTGCACAGCCAATTTGTGTTGGTATCACGCAAACTTTGCCGCCAAGGCTCGCAAACATTCTTCCCCTTGTTCATTTAAACCGAAACAGGGAAACCAGCCAGCCAGAGAATAGACGCGACCGTTTTCTCTGGCTCTCCCAGCTCTGGTCGCACCTTTTATGTCTGCGACAATGTGACTCGCAGGCGTTTCCTGGTGGACATCGGAGCCCAGATCAGCCTGATTCCCCCCACACCAGTTGACCGCCGCTGTCCCAGCCCTGGTCTACATCTCCAAGCTGCAAACTGTTCCACCATTTCCACTTTTGGTAGTCGTTCCCTAACGCTAAACATTGGTTTACGTCGATCTTTCTCCTGGATATTTGTGATTGCCGATGTGCCTCATGCGATCCTTGGTTCCGACTTCCTAGCTGAGTTTGATCTCCTTGTTGACTGTCGGCGTTCCTGTCTCCTCGACCGCACAACTGGTCTTTCTGTCCGCGGTCAAAGACACTTCAATGACTCCTGCAATTTATCTGTTCTGGAAACAGGTATTGCTTGCCCATACTGAGACCTGCTCCTCCAACACCCCAACATAATCAAACCCCAGTTTCGCAGTGGTGAGATCCAGCATGACGTTTTCCACCACATTCGCACCCCTGGCCCCCCAGTATTCGCACGGCCTAGACGACTGGCTCTGTCCCGTCTGCAAGCGGCGAAGGCCGAATTTGAGCACATTCTGCAATTGGGCATAATTCGGCCGTCCGAGAGTCCATGGGCGTCCCCTCTGCATATGGTGCCAAAGGCGACATCAGACGACTGGCGGCCCTGTGGTGACTATCGCGCCCTCAACAATGCGACCATCCCGGATCGTTATCCCGTTCCTCATCTTCAAGATTTTGCTGGAGCTTTTTTCGGCAAATCGGTTTTCTCGAAAATTGACCTTGTTCGGGCTTTCCATCAGATTCCTGTCGCTCCTGAGGATGTTCCCAAAACTGCCGTCACCACACCAATCGGCCTGTTCGAATTTATTCGCATGCCATTTGGTCTTCGCAATGCTGCCCTAACATTTCAGAGGTTCATTGACCGAGTCCTACGTGGTCTCCCGTTTGTGTACGCCTACATCGATGACCTCTTGGTGGCCAGTCGAAATGCCGAGGAACACAAAGAGCATCTTGCCTTAGTGTTTGACAGCCTCGATCAGTTTGGCGTGGTCATTAACCCTTCGAAGTGTGTTCTGGGTGTGCCGTCCCTTGATTTTCTTGGTCACCATGTCGATGCACAAGGTTTGCGTTCCCTCTCTTCCAAGGTGTAGGCCATTCGTGACTTTCCTCCACCAACCTCCAAGCGTCATTTGCAACGTTTCCTTGGCATGGTAAACTTTTATCGCCGGTTCCTACCGAACTGTGCCGACCTTATGCTGCCACTCACCAACTTGCTCTTTGGTCCCAAGGGTCCCCTTGATTTACGTGGCTACGCGCTGACTGCTTTTGAGAGAATAAAGACCTCCCTTCCTGACGCTACCTTGCTCACTCAACCTGCTCCAGAAGCCCCATTGTCCCTGATGGTTGATGCTTCGACCGTTGCCGTAGGAGCAGTCCTCCAACAGCATATCGACGACTCGACACGACCGTTGGCATTCTTCTCCAAGAAGCTTTCACCTGCCGAGACGAGATATAGCACGTTTGGCCGTGAACTTCTTGCCATTTACCTAGCCGTAAAACATTTCCGACACTTCCTTTAGGGTCGTGACTTTACAATTTTCACAGACCACAAACCACTTACATTTGCCATCCGATCCCATTCTGACAAATATAACCCGAGAGAGATTTCTCATCTGGAGAGAGGAGAGAGGACTGCTTTATTTTGAAAATAAATTTCAAAACTTTCAGCAAAAACGGTTCTCCAGTACACAGTGATTACCATAGAGATTAACAGGTTTTTGGACAGACAAGTGGACATGATTAAATATGATGAAAAAAAGGACTTTAAGGTGCAAGATCGAGTTTTAGTTTTTGTTTTTCAACATCTTTGCAGGTGAGATACCGGGCTAGAAATGGCAGTATGGAATTCCGATAGGCCGAAGTGCGGCAAGGGATGTGGCGGAAGCATCGACGCGTGGGGCGTAAGGATTTCGCAGCCATTAACTCATTATGAAGGGGATGGACGGTGTCATTCAGAATTCGGTTAGCGAATTGCTCCACCGAGTTGAAATGTCGCTGCACGATGATATCGACTAAAAGATGATAGGAAACACCAGCAGCAGAGGCGAGCATTCGAATGACACGCTTAAAAATAATTAGATCTTTTTTAAGTAAAGCTGGAAAAATAACTGGAGAACAATAAAGAATGAGCGGAAGAATACAGCCATCTATGAATCGCCAGATTAAGGACTGGGGTGTGTGATATGAACGTAGACGACGAATGTAATAAAAAAGTTTTTGAATTTTTGTTAACAGGGTTTCCATATGAAGAGAAAAAGAGAGATTTGAGGATAAAGTAACACCTAGGTACCGGAAAGAAGATACCTCATTGGGAAGAATATCCAAAGGTTCAGGAATGGGAGAGGGTCGCAATCGAAACACACACTGTACTGATTTCTGATTGTTGAGTAGGAGTCCATTATTCGAAGACCATGCGAAGACGTGGTCTAAGCCATCCTTTAAAGACTGTAGGTGAGTCAGGTTTTTGAGTGGGTGGCCTACGACCATGTCATCGGCATACTTAACATACAGACAGTCGTTTGGCGATCTCAAGTCATCAGTATGTAGGGAGAAAAGAT